AACTCTGGCCTTATAGGTTCACCTGTGCCCCTGGAAGCACCATGGAAAGGTTCCCAGCTTGCAGTATCAGCCTTGCTGGGAAGCTAAACCATCTACCTGCTGAGCTGTGGCACAGAGATTAGGCAAAAAACACTCCTGGGGGCAGGAGAGACAAAAAAATCAGAGTTTTCAGGCTACATTATTGTCTTGCCTCCTTAGAAAACATCCCTGTCGGATGACCAGGGTTCAGAATTCCAAGCAGATACAACATGTGTGGTTTGTAATGGTAATAAGGTTTGATTTTATGTTAGATTAATAAGACAAGGCATGGAATTATAATGCATATTTCAGACACAATGGCAATACAATGGTAAAGGGCTCCCAAGTTATAAAGAAGCTTGCTGGGCTTCCTCAAAAAGTGAGTTATCAGATGGTTGCCAGATCATAAATTTTCTTGTTCTCACTTAGCTGTTGAACAATAAAATGATGTTAGAGGCATCTAAATCTATACACTTCATTAACATGATATTTTCAAAGAACAGTAACACAATTTCTATGTACTTGGAGAGAGTCAAATGAGAAATATTTCCTTTTTTTTTCTTTTTTTTTCTTTTCATTTTCCTTTCTTCCTTCATTTCTGAGCCCAATTACAAAGCCATGATGTGACTATGAATTCTTAATACTGCTCCCCTGGTAATTTGTACTTGGGCATTGTTTTCTTAGGTAGAACTACATTAGGAAAGCAGTAATGTTTTCACCAGCACAAGCAAAAATGTTTTATGTCTTATATATTCTGGCTGAGAAGGTGAAGTCTCAAGGACTTAATTCAGTCCATGAGCAACCACTCACAACGTCCTAATATAAAAGTCTACATCATAAAAATGCAATAAATAAGAGACAAAACTTCTTTTTGTTGCCTTAAATTCCATTAACTGAAGCTGGAAAGAACTGGACTCACAAAATATCAAATAGGAAATGTCTACTGGAGACTACACTAAAACCAGGATGTACCATAAAATGTAAGTGGAATTTGTTCTTGACCTAAGTCGCCTTTTCCTGTTTAAGAGGATGGCTGATACAATTCTGGATGCAAGATACTAGAGAACAGAAAGTCTCTATTTTAGAGAGATGTGTTGTCACAGGATTTCTATCTATCATCTTTACCTCCCTCTGCAAGCCTTCTAGCCCCCAAAGTGGTAAGCACAGACGAGGGGTATGTAAATCAAACAGCATTGCTTTGTTCAGTCATACTATGCATACAATGAAGGCAAGGCCCCATCATTAGGCAAGTACTATAAACATTAAACTTTCAGCCTAATTTTAAAAACTAGAGATTTTTAGAAGTAAGTCCTTTCCAGTTACATCCCATATAAGTATTTTCTAGCAGCTGAAAGCTGCATCAGGTAAGAGTGTTCATCTGTGTTCAGGCCAGTCCTGGTAAATTGCCAAATACTTGTGGACCTCTGTGTGTATGAAAGTCTTTTCAAACCCTATTCCCAGGTTCTTGCTAATTCAACTGTGAGCTCATTTATCCTTGCAGTGCAACCACCACTACTCAGTGAAGCCAGATCACCTTAAAAAATTAGTGGGATTGTGTCTTAGTAACAAAAAGCAGCTTGAGTACCTTTCCCAATAACTTCTGATTCCATGGGTTATGCCGACACCCAGTTCAGGCACACACTATCCCTTTTGTGCTCAGCCTTAGATATAGCTAGTAAGAAAGCCCATAAAGGAGTTGCCAGTGTGATGACAGACTGTGTTGTCCTTAATCATGCTGCCCGGTGCTGCCTCTATTCGTGCTATTTACCTTCCAAGCGAACAGCACTCCAAAATGAAGGTATGATTAAGGCAAAGGCAAGAATGAGTTTAACACATGTCAATAATGGATAATGGAAGAGGAAAGGTAGGAAAATAGAATCAGAAAATAGTTTGGGTTGGAAGGGACCTTTTAAAGGCCATCTAGTCCAACTCCACTCTGAAATGAGCAGGGACATCTTCAGCTACAAGAATTCCTATGAGAAATAGAAGACATGTTGGCCTTAGTCCACTTGGTTATAGCTGGGTGACTTCAAGACATAAAAACAGGCATATAAACGTGAAGTTTCAGAGTTTCTGTAGCTTTTATCCTATTGTCATTATCAGGTGACTAGTTACCCCCACATTGCTGTAGCTCTGGAAGAAGAAATTCTAAAGGACATGAAAGTGGAATGGAGGTTGTGGGAAGGCTGAAACACTTGGCAGTGTCCTCGTTGAATTGGACTCCCCAGTGTGGTGGCAGCAAGGCAAACATTACCTGTGTTTGTCAACTCAATTAAATGCATATTCTATGTAAGAATTCTGTATCACTCCTACTTACTGATTTGTATTTTATTGCATTAGAAACAAGGATATTAATCTTGCTCCATGCAAGAGCTCTTATACTGCCTTCTAGGACATTTGGAAGTATTGCTTTTAGTTTAAGAACACATTTTTATTCTCAGCATGTTGCTTCCTCCCCGCCAATATTTCAGCTTCATCATTAATTCGTGAACCATAACTCTAGTGAGAATCAGCTCTAGGCTGATAAAAAGAATTCCTACCTTTTTTTTTTTTTGCCTCTCAGTTTATAAAAGATACTTTTTAATAAGCTAGGAGGGTTACACTGAAAAATAATAATAAACTAGATTTACATTTTTACAGTCAATAGAGAATGTGATGCATATATTATAGACCTAAACTAGGTAAAAGGGTATTATATCAAAGGCTTGTTAGTCTTCCTTTACATGCAGCCAGCTCTGTAGTAGGTTTTTCAGAGCACCATGGAGAATACCCAGCATCCACTGACAGCTTGAAATATCGCTAGAAAATCTGGCTCTCCAAAAAAACCAGATCAGAACAAACTATACTCATAAAAACTGTTCTATTAGGAAATGTAATGAGCAAAAGAAGGGTAGATACAGATATGATCATAACACAAGGGGAGTTATTTGGGGTGGAACTGTCCCATCTTCTGTGGGAGACTGCCAGGAGATAGCTGGGATACTGCCACTACAAGGTTAAGTGTAATTGCCCCTGGACAACAATATATTTTTTTTAGGTAGAATCCAGTACAATTCCTCCTAATTCTGCAATGGCTGACAGAACTGGTTTACTAATGCTGTCTCTCCTGTTAATTTTTTGTCTCCTGATAAGAGAGACATATGTCTCCTGATGAGAGGAATCCTTGCCAGAGCACAGCTCACTGTCACTGTGCTCTCTCCTTCCTGAGCCTTCAACCCTAATGATCTCAGGGCCCCTTCTGATCTTAATACTGCAAATTGTTTCTTGAAGAGAATCACAAACGCTCCTGAAGGCAAGGTATTAAAAAGGTAATATGCCCAACACTCTTGAGTATGGGACTCCAACCAAGCAATAAAACAGAAAAGAAAAATCCCTACTCTGATATTTAACATTCAAAGAGAAGGTGAATTCCAGTGTAACTGCACAAATTAAAGCATAGGGCAATATGACAGCAAGTTAATTCAAAGGTATTTTATATACCAAATTACAAAAAATCCCCATGATTATGATTTAACATTTACTTTTCTTGAAGGGTAAAATAACTCTAGCTCAGTTTTCATTCTTCCATCTTTTTTGCTACTTTTACACAAGTTCTCCATTGGACGAGGACAACACAGAAATTACATGGAAACTTTTCTGTGTTCAAAGTTTATATCTGCTACAACCAACATTAGTGGAAGAGAGAACAATACATGAAGGTGCTGCTAGAACGATCACACACTTAAGAAAGATTCTCCTCAAGACCAAAATGTTTAAGGGGATCTTTATGGAAACACTAGCTAAATGAAAATCACAAGAAGAAACACAGCCTGTGTAAGGTGACTTCAGAGGGACTCTGAACTCATCAGAGGTTTGTACAGTTTATACTACAAAACTGAGCAGACTCAGAAGGAATTTTTGACAAGTCTTCCAGTGTTACTGCAGTACACTGCCAATTTTATGGATGGAAGCATGAAGATGACTATAATCCCTCTATTACAGGCAAAACATCTGAGGCTCAGCATTTGAGAAAGGTTTGGATGCTTCACTACTTGTCACAGTGGTAGATTTAATTATCATGTCACAAAACAGAATGTGCTGCTTATAGTGAGCTGCTGATGAAGAGTGGGAGAATCTGGCACAAGTAAAAGGAAGAAATAATTTGGATGGAAAAGTGAGTAACTGTGGAGCTCCCACAGAAAACCATCGCAGATGTTCTGGGTAATTTCAGACCTTGTCAATACAGAAACCCATCTATATTCAGCCAAGGGGAGAAGGCTGATTCCCTACAGCACCAGGGGTCAGCCATGGTTGTCTTGGCTGCATGACACTAAAAGAGGTGGAGACAAAGCCATGCAAGGTTGGTTTGTCTGGGCTAATTTATTTTATTTTTGAGTTGTGGCACACACTCTTCCCCCAACCATCTTATAGGCTAATTTATTTTTGAGTTGTGGCACACACTCTTCCCCCAACCATCTTATAGCATACAGGTTAAACAGATTACAGAATGATATTGAGTTTCTTTTACAAAGACCACAGACTGCTCCTAGAAGGAGCTGGGAATGTGGGAATAAACAAGGAGACTCCTGGATGATATTAGTCCAGGGACACCTGAACTGCTGCAGTTCAGTCACAGCTATAATAATGACCATACATGAGTGACCCAAGAGACACTCCAAATCCAAAACAATAATTAAATTGGTAACATGCCAAAACAGAAAATGCACTGTCAGTAGCTCAGCTGACATATTTCAACCTGGGGAATATTTACAGGTTCAGGCTCCTCCATTTTGACTGTGATGGCCTATGAAAAGCATCTCTAAGCTGACTAGAGATAAACAGAGTATGCTGAGAATTAAATCAATACCAAAATATTGCAGAGTGAACATCAAAGGTGAAAGTTTGATAATTTGTCCAAATGCATTGTGTTCCCAAGTCACTGGTTTCAGCACAAGCATGCACACACCATTCTGCCCCAGAACCCAGATTATTGAAAGTGTTACCTTATTCACACCATCTGCCATTGCTTGCAGCGTTAACTCTCTAGGTCCGTCCACAGTCTTCCCATTATCAGTTGGTCCCCAGCTGGCACTATATATATCTATGACTTGAGGCATATGACTGATGGAGGAAGCCTCAATAATGTCTGTCATAAACGGCTGGTCCAGCATTCGGATACCTGCAGTTTTAATCAACAGAAGCATGAAATATGCATTACCCAGTACAAAATGTGATCTCAGCACCTGCAGAAGGCCCCCAGTTACAGGTATTTTAAGTCACTGGCAGTTTTACCCATTCAGTAATGCTGCACTTGACGTTCCCATGTCACCAGGGTGTGCTTACCCAGCAGGATGCCAGTATTAAACACCAAGGCAGCATGGCCCAGAAAGACAAAGAACTTTATTGTTAGCTTTCTAATTACACAGTATTTTCCATCTACTCTTTGAGAACACTTTAAAAATAACTGAATTCAGCAGTCTCAGAAACCCAGTGCCTAAATAATATCAATGGCATTTAAAATAAGATTTTGTAAGCTAACAAAAAAGAGTAAGGCACCCTCCCTCATCTAATTTACATTCATTTTGTGTTCACATGTCATTAGTTTTTCAAGTAATTTTTCTATTTATTTGGGTGCATCTCCAGAATTTAATCAGAGGAGGGAAACATCCTACACAGCAATTTCCTGGAAAAATATCATTCTGTCAACATGCAGATGCAATAGCAAAATACGGCCAGCATGTGGAGGAAAAAAGCAAACTAAAACCCACTTTCTTTAACTCATACTGCAGTAGAAGTTAAAGAGTTTAAATGATACAATCTTAGGACATGTCAACTTCATAAAACCTCAAAGTGTTGACTCTAAGTGAGCCAGAGTGCAACAGACAGCAGTGCAAGCCCTTAAGCTTCCATTGTGCCTCACACACAGGACAATTTCACTGACAGCCAACCTGTCACTTGGCCTCTGGATGACACCTGAGTAACCAGGGATTCATTCCAAGCTTAATTTGTACCCCTGAGTTGAAGTTCAGCTTTTGCCAATGGTTTAGGACACAGATTGGGCAGAAATCAGTGCCAAACAGTGTGAATGGAAATAAGGATGCTGATTTAGAAGCCAGTGGCTTTATTATATTCAATAGAAACCCAAATGTGTCAAATATAAGGCTGGAAAAAATGTGGTATAAATTTCAAATTGAAATCAGACCAAAGCTCGATGTCCTTGGTGGGCTAACTTGAGCTAGAAATGATGAAGTAAAACTCAATGGGTGAGAAATTGATTCCCATACTTATAAAATGCAGATCTGGAATCAGCTTCCCATTCATTCTGCAAATATGGACTCCAAACCATGACAGCAGCAGACCCTCAACTTTCATGGACTTCCAGTGCCATGGACCACACAGTGGTCTTACCAATGCACATGGTTCTCAGGCAGGGAAGGCTGGCTGGCACTTCCAAAAACTTGAGGGGATTTTACTACAAAGTGGACAAACACAGAAGATTATTTATAGGCTGTTGGTCACCAGAAATATTGTCACACCTCTTGATTTTTAAGCAACCAGCTTGAAGTTGTAAAGTTATATGAATAATATGGACATGGTCCAGACAAAATCCCATGCATCAATTCAGATTCCTTGAAGAGTAACTCTTGAAAGAATGTAAATTTTGTGGATGTCCCATCCCTGAAGGAGATGTTACCCTTCCTGAAGAAAGGAGATATTTATTAGACCTGCCCAGCCAGTTACTAATTCTCACTGAAATTTCTTGGGTGAGAGCTCAGCAAACATTGCTTGGTGCCCTTCTGTGGTGGAGATCCAGCTTTCAGTCGTGTAGGTGACAGGTGAAATGTAGCCTTCCTCAGATTCTCCTGACACTACAGTGAAACAGGGGCGGGCCAAGCAGAGCAGAGCTGTCCATGTACACACACTGTGGACCATCTCCAAGAAGCAATGAGTACAGCCATGCTGATGTTCTGGTGTGGATCAGAGAAAGTGAAGTGAAATTCATAAGCATCTATCTCTGCCTGCTGTACCTCAGTTCTCATCATGGAACTGTCTGAAGAGTGGGAAAACTGGATTTCTTCAGATTCAACATCTCCACACATGGTGTGGAGAGCCTAACTCACTCCAAGCAGTGTATTCAGTATATATGTGCAGAGAAGAGCTCATTAGAAGCAAAAATACCCAATACACCCAAGGTGTGGATGCTGGGTGCTAGGTACCACCACCACCACCATTCTCTGCATCTGCTCCTATGACTCTGCATCACTGTTAAAACAGATGAAACCTACAACCACAGAGATATACAGCACTGCAGGTCCTGCCCTGTGAGAGCCTAAAGAGTAAGAGCAGCATAAGATTTGCCTTTTCAAATGGTTTTTAAGTGCAGCAGGAATTTATACTTTACCTCCTGCAAAATGAGATTTGCCACAAACGATTCTATAGCTACGCAGGGAAAAAGCACTGAAAATCAGCATACAAACAGGAGCTGGTATATGAAGGAGCAGAGCTGCTCTTTTGCACTGTTATTAAAGAGCCTTTATTTATAAGGCCCTTGATTGAAAAGGCAAAGCCATGGAGAAATTCCTCTCTCTAGCTATTGTGAACAGTAATAAACACATGGTCTGACACTGATCTGCAGCCCTGTCCTTGGCAACACCCTGTGTCTCTGCTATTTACACCTTGGATTGCTACTATACCTGCCACTTTGGAGTTGTAGGCAACTCCCACGCCGCAGATGTTGTTGTTGGCAGCAGCAGACACCTCTCCTGCACACCTTGTCCCGTGGCTGTGAAAAGGAAGGCAGAGAGACCAGATGAACCCCAGCAAATGCATGTGCTGAGCTGAGCTGGATCACTGGGAGCCTGTTTTGCCTCAGTCAGCTCCCAGTGCTGCAGAGGAAAACCATTCCATGGAAAACTTTTGAGTGCTGAATACTGGCATGAGTTCATTCCTTGCTGAAGCAGGCAATATCCAGTTTCCCCTCTGCAGGAGGAGTGAGGCATGCTCTGAGGTTAACATGTATCCCTACACTGCATTTAACTGTAAAGTTATTCAGGACTTTTCGTATTAGCTTGTGAGACAGGTTCTGCCTCATTAACAACTCTTAGTAGAAAGAGCCCCTGACAGAACAGCATAAATGTAAGATCAATATTAATTCCTTTATTTTTGTGTCTTGACAACATGGCACCCATTACTTTGAACCTTATGGAACAGTCTGGTTGCCTTTTTGCTGTCTGAACACGTACAAAGAGCATATCCCTGCCCACAAAAGAAATGTTACAGGAAGAGGTGGGTGCAATACCAAGAAGGGAGCAGAAGGGAAACAAAAATGTTACAGGAAGAGGTGGGTGCAGAGCTGCACGTGGCTGGCCAGGCCCAAAGCTGTGGGACCTAAGGCACGTGCATCCCTCTCATCCAGTGCCTAATTCCCAGAAGAGCTGACAAGGTGCTCCAGCTTACAGTGCTATTGCTTTCTGCTCAAGTGGGAAAAGTCTCTGCTCTGATACAGAGGTACAGGCTTGGGCTGACACATGGTGTTTCAATAATACCTGGGTCTGTGGAGTGCTTTGCAGCTCTCAACAGAGACTCTTTAGCTGCAGTGGCACTTACTGGCACCACTGGCAGTGGCTCCTGCAGGAAGGGAAATTGGATTTTCCTTTCTCTTAATTCATCCCAGAAATTAAACTCAAGATAAGAGAAATACAGACAACATAACCTAGTTTTTAAAAAATAGCATAGCAGCAGGGAAACCTGTGCTGCCGTCAGGGTTTTTTTTAGTCTAAGATGTTGAATCAATATATGACTCCATCCTACTGCTCACATCAATCCACTCTGAGCACTGAAACTGGCACTGATCCTACAGCATGCTATGGATTCATGCAATTCAAAATGCTGTATTATAAAGGTTATACTGAGTATCAGATGGACCATCCTGGGAGGCAGCAAAACTGTTTTAATCATCTTTTTCCCCCTCTTTCCCTTTACGTGTGCCTGGCAAAGGTAAGTGCAACATTAATAAAAAGATAAGAAGCAATACATACTTTTTCCTGCTCTGCTTGGGAGAATATATTTTTAGAAGCAGTTCCATAAAGAAAGGTGACAGAAGATCTAATCTGCTTTCTTTTACAAAAGGGGCAGAAAAGACAGCAATACAGATTTCTTATTCAGCTGCTACAGAAATTGCTATCAACAATCAAACAACAAGATTTTCCCTCATGATCTTGCTCAAGGAATTCATTGGTAGGTGCTAGCAATGCTAGGCATTCATCATCTAGACAACTGTGGGCACAGAGAAGAATAAATGGCTCGGTTCAAAATTGGCTTGACTAATATTGGGGCGCAAAACATCACTGATGCTGCCAGATTACAGCAAGAAAAACTGTATTAGGACCTTCCTGACAAAAAAGTTTTACTAGAAGGTCTTCTCCCTGTCCTGGCCTCTCCAGAGCAGTGGCCCACACAATGCAGACTGTAAACAGCTCTATTCCAGCAGCTCAGTTTCAATATTGTGCTGCTGACTAGAGAGAAAAAAAAAATCACTTATGAGTTAGTGGAAATGCATTTGGTTAAATTATTAATGGCAAATAGCAGACTTTTCCAACTCAGCCCTATTTGCTGTTCATGTATCATTGATAAACCCTTTGTGGTTTCTATGAAGTGACTCACGTCAGAAGAACAAATCACAGCCTTTCTCTTCAGTGTTCACCTCTTTCCTATGTCGATATTTAAAGTAAGGGGATAGAATACAAAAATATTTTCATCTGCGAACAAGCTACTTCAAAGGTAAACCATATATTAGCAAGAAGAGCAAGATTTACATAAACTTTATGTAAGTGAATGCATTTTATGTGAATATGCATAAAAAAGTAAGGGGGAGAAGTGGATTTAGTTGAAAAACAGTTTTGTATACTGCATTTTAAAAAATACCTATACTATCTACGAAAATTTCACTCTGCTTTGTCTTTGAAAAGAATTCTGTTTTAAAATCCACTGCCAATGGTCCTGTGTGTGCCTCCCTACTGACGTATTTTTGAAAGTGTCAGAGGCGGCACAGATTTTTATTGAGGCTCCTTTTCAGCTGCTGTGAAATGCTTCTGCAGACAGCAAAGGACAGGACTCATGCATCCTATCTTCAGCAAGGGAGGGCTATGCAGAGCTGCAGTCTCAATAGCTGGGACCACCTGCTTTTCTTGACCAGTTTAGCTGCTTGCATTGGGCAACAATTAAACATGTAGAGCTCAGGACACTTTGTGGGGCAAATGCAACCCCCTTTTTTACTCACATGACGCAATTAAACATGCAGAGCTCAGATGGACACTTTGTGGGGCAAATGCAACCCCCTTTTTACCCACGTGACATCATCAGCCTCTAAGAATTTGAGTGTTCAGAGAAGGGAAAGAATTCTCCTGCCTTGGTTTGGATCCACAGTTAGCAAAAGATTCTTACACCTGAAGAATACAGGTTTCCAAAATAGCAAATAAATTTTTCCCTGCTAACTCATTATCTTAGTGAGAGTATATAGAGAATACAAAGGCCATAGGAGCAGAGATCAATATTGGCTATTTAGATCAGGGCAGAAATTTGTAATCTCATTGCTCTGAGGTGGAGAGCCCGAGTTGTGCCTTCTGCATGCTCACAACATGAAATCAGAGGGCAGTATGAGGCCAAGCAGTCCTGATTCCTATGGCTACCTCTTCCCTGCAGAATGTGGTACATGCCAAGGAACTGAATGTGGTTCAGAAGGAGAGAGCGTTCAAAATCAGTCAGTTCCCAAAGTAGTTCTTAAAAACCACTGAGTTCTCTGGGGCTGCCTCTCATTTTGGGAACAGGGCTCGATTCAAGTTCCTTCACTGCTCCCACTGCTCCTCAGGCTCAAACAGAGCTCTGTCCCAGGTGGAACCAAGTGTCACTCTCCTGCTGGGTCCCCAAGCTGTGGATCTGAACACAGTCAAACAGTGAGTATAGCAAACATGAGAATAAACTCCTTGCCTATCAAGACATCTATGGGGCTCTTCTTCCCACAGCAGCAGCTGAACTGCCTGAAAGCAATACCCTGCCTGAGGCACCACCCTTCCCTTCCAAAAACCACCCCGCATGCTTTCATAGGCCAGTGGCTGTTAGATGGAAAGGCCAAAGTGATTCCAGCAGTCTTACAAAGCCCCAAATGGAAGGGGAAATTGTGCTTACAAGCAGAGCAGCTGTGATTAATGGAATACTCCATGCAAAAACCTTTCCTATTTATTCTTAAAGTGTAATGAACACATTCCACATGCAGCTGGCAGCTCACAAAAGCCCCTTGGTGATCAGTCCTCTGCTTCTTGTTCCACAAATCACTTAAATTGCTCACACAGAAAAGTATTCTTTATGGAAAAAGGAATATTACACTATCCTATTTTGAGTCTGATCCTTCTGCATGCATAAAATTCGATGGGAGATGCATCACTGGCTGTGCAAAACGGAGCCTTTACTTCAGGTTTCTCTCAATAGATATTCCATGTAATCATGCCCTATCCAGATGCACCTGTGCAGCTACACATAGGGACAGACAGAGACAGACAGCTTTACCTACCAGCAACACTAATTCAGGAGTCAGAAGCCATGGCAAGAGCTTATAGAGGAGTATTTCAGCTCAATTAATGGAATAGCAAAGAAATACGCAGAGAAAAACAGTCACAGCTACTCCTGGACAGATGGATACCGTGTGCTGGTTTGCATCTTAACCTGCAGAAAACTAAGAATCTTGCATCTTAAATCCTTCCTTATTCTATGAAGGCAAGAAAGGGATGCCCCACTGAATGTGTTGCTCCCATGATTCACCTTGCAAGACGGACAATTCCCTGTCTTGCAAAAGAAATCTGAAGGTTCATCATATCATAGAGTGGTTTGGGTTGGAAGGGACCTTAAAGATCATCTAGCTCCAATCTCCCTGCCATGGGCAGGGATGCCACCCATGAGATAAGGCTGCTCAGGGCCCATCCAGCCTGGCCCTGAACATTTCCAGGGATAGAGCATCCAAGGTTCATTGACAAACAATGTTATACTTCCTAAGTATTGATTCAATTTTTTTCTGAAAAGAAAGAACAGTAAAGGATATCTGCAAAGTAATTTCTCCATCGTTTCCCCGCTCCTATTGCCGACCTGAACTCTCCATTGCCCCAAAAAACAGAGGAAACTGTTGCAGTTCTCTGACAACCTGAATCATGCTGTTCTCAATTATTACAGATTGGGTCACAAACAATAGTGCTGCTCACCCTCAATTCTTCACTGAAGTGCTTGAAGTTAGGCAGGGGCACCTGGGACCAGATACAATAACCCCGGCCATGTCTGGAATGCTTGAGGTCTATTCAAAGAGACTTTGGGATGTAACTCTCACTCCAGGGAGAGTTTACTCTGCAGAACAGGTAAGGATGGCAAACTGGGCCCCACTATAAAATACTTGATGGTAGCAGAATCAGTGTTAATGGGACTTGGCAGAACATACTTAATTTTATGAAGTACCACACTGAAAACAACAAAAGCTACCCACTAAAGCTAATTTTAATTTTCTTCCTCTCCAGAGCTAAGTGGTATCTGCCTCCTAAAAAGATCCTTTGCATAAATAAAGCAAGAAAGTCAGCAGACCTTCACAAATTAGAGCCCTAGTCTTTCTGTGACTTTCCATTCACTAACTGGATTCATACTACTTTAAAAGTGTCAGATGTCCTTTCCCAAAATGAAGCAGAAACCTCATTGAGATCTTGCTTTGGCTGAAAAATTGCAGGACTACAAAGAAGGACATCACAGCTCCTAACTGTTTAATCCATTCCAGGAAGCCCTTATCTGAGGTGGAAGCACAGCTGCTTCTTTGTTGTGTCACTCTGACAGAACTACAATTGATTTCTTTAGAAATAAAAACAAAAACCCCCATCCAAAACTAGGAGACCATCCAGTCATCCTAAGTTAGAGATGAAAACCACATCAAATAGACCTGAAATATTTTTTGATAAGCACCCAGTCTGAGCCCTGAAATCTTTAAAAAGTTTTCAACAAAAAGGAATGTAGCCATCACTTATCCAAACAATCTAAAAATACACTTTTCTGGAGCAGCAACTTCATTTATAAACTATGAACCTAAAAAAATGACATTGTAAGTAACCTCTAGTTTTCAAGCAGCAGTGAGACTGCAGTGTCTGTTCTGTGGCGATTGAATTCAGCAGAAAACAGACATTTCACAAAAATGCAGAACTTCTTACACAAACCAAAGTGAAGGGCAGGCTGCCCAAAATCCATTTACCTGTTAAACCAGTCATCTGTGTAGCGGGGATAGGGGTAGGGATCATTGCTGCTGAAGTCGTAGCTGGCTTTGGCATTCTACAAAACACAAGGAACACAGAAAATCAGCTGAAGAACAGACATGAAGTGAAACACAAATTGAATGAGAAGCTGAGAATCAATAGCAAACTTTGCCCTCTTCATTCTGCGAGATGTATCTGGACAGAAACCAGTCCCTATAGTGCTGTGTCATTTCCCATTTTCCACACCAGCAAGCCTAGGGAACAATGCTTTCTGGCATGCAAAGCCACCTGTAGACCAGTGTGGTCAATTGTGAGGTGGTGTGAGAGCTCAGGTTACTACTGAGCATCAACATCAACACTTACAAGAGTATTGTATTCCAGCATTAAACTACGTGGCAAAGTAAAAGTGAAATCCCATTTTCCAAACGGTGGTGGAAGTGACATGACGCATGGATCTTCTACAAAAGAAGTATTTTTGAAAACCTCATTTGTGGTACTACAACAGTCAGATTTCTAAAAGCATTTCAATATCTAAGAATGTAAATTTCTCAAAATTCAACTGCAAAAACTGCATTATTGGCCAGCACATATGGCTGAAAATCTCTTTGCATATTTTCTCATTCCTTTAGCTGTCTCAACAGCTTCACAAAGTGCTTTCAGGCACTTCTCAAAATGTCATCCCATGTCTCGGCTTTCTATATAAATCTAATTCATTCCTGATTTGTCCTATCAGCAGTTAAGGACATTCAGCAACTTTTTGATCTGAAGCAAATAGAAAGTTTCAGAAAGTCAAGTGCCATCTTCTTTTTTCTCTCTTAATGAAAAAATAAAGGGTGACTGAGAATTAGGCTTTTAAAAATATTTAGCCGTTTCCTCTCAAGTGTACGTTCATTGAGTTTATGTTTTAATAATCATCATACTCAAGGAACAGAATTATGTTAATTCTTAATTAATGTGTACTTGTATTCCTTCTAAGATTTGGCTGAGCATGCTATTGAAGATAATTTGAGACTTGTGCATGAACAGCTTTGCTCCTAAAAACATTCCCTTTCATCTGAATCTCAGTTCCTGAGATACAGGAATAGACAGTCCATTGGTAGCACCCAAGATTTGGATTCAAACCCTTAAACTCCCAGAAATTTGTTCCAGGATGAAGTGAGGACAACATTGCCCTTGATACTTAGAGGGCAAAACTAAATGTCTTTCAAGTTATTGTACAGGGGGGTTTTTTGGGCGGTCACTTCAAAGCCTGGTTGCTTATATTCAGCACAGACAGTAAATATTTTGCAGCATTTGAATAGAGCAGAGATTTTCAGAATGGCTCTCAAATGGCTTGATGCTGTCTTCCAGCTCAGAGATTAATTCCTTTTTGAGATCCTTATGGATCTCTCCATATCTCCACGCTAAGGCCCTGATTTTCAGCCTGAAGATGCCTTCCAGTCATGTCAGCTATAGCCACAAATTCTCAGTGCCTCTAAGTCTTTGTGCCCAGGTGTCTGATTAATTTGCTTATTTTAATTACCCCAACTGCTTATACAGCACATTAAATGGCATAGGTTTGCGTGACCTAAGAGTAAACAGAACATACTTTTCAGCCAGGAAAAAATGGGGAATTTGACATTTGTCTATAATTCATGAGTAGTACTGAGAAGGTGGACAAGCAGTTATTTTTTACTACTTCTCGTAATTCAAGAAATTGAAATTACTGAGGGGGAGACTTAAAAGCAGTAGAAAAAAAAGTACTTTTCCACAGAACATGTAATGAGTTACAGAATTTACTGTCATAGATACCACACAGACATATTGCCAACTTCATATTCACTCAGAACTTCTGCTTCCATTCTAAAAATATCGTACAAATTTAAACACAGTCATGTGTCAACCGTGTTTTATTCTCCCATTTAGTAGAAAATGCAGTCCCACTTACATACCCTAAGCTCAAAGGGGGTCTGGTAAGGCTGACTTTTCAGGACATCATCAAACATGCAGGCACCTTGTACTTGCTATCAACCACTCTTGACTGTAGAATTCCCCTGTGCAAAAATTAAGGCTGAGAAACCCTTCTAGCTGTGCTGCTGTACTGGTGTTCACAGCAGTGACAGACAAAGGGATTGCAGCCTGAATGATTCAGACACCCTACAGCAAACTGCAGCCCTGCTGCAGGCCCCAGGTAAGGCAGCTTATGGAAAGATGCCTTTATGGAAAGATGCCTTTAGCAGGCTATAAACCAAATTGTGCAGCCACATCCTTTAGCTCTCATTTGCTTCATTTTGGATCAGCACTCATAGGAAAAAGATAACTAATGGAGTGGGAACCATCCACAAAGGGCAAAATTAAGAAGAAGACTTGGAAAGAAAACAACTGCTAACTGAGCAATTTATCTTCATTAGGGTCTTTGAAAAAAGACAGTGAGTTTCAGCATTGTGAAGCAGTATTTCACCCACACTATGGAAGCAGTGAAATGGATAATGAAACAGCAGAGAGAAGTACAAATGGACTGCTTCAAGTTTCTAATTTAAAGATTAAATCTACAAATATTAAGCCTCAGCTTTTGTTAATTTTTTTAAGCTAAAGTAAGAAATTAAACAATTTCAGAATTGCACCACAAAGGAAACTGCTTGACTGGACAGCTTAAATATTTCATTTTGTGTTTTGCAAAGTGAATATTAAAATCTGTGTTTTGCCATTGTCCTCCATAGGCTGGAGCCCCCAGGAGGCAGCAAGAGGGAGTTTATTGCTGACATGGAGAATTAATCAGCACAGGAACCTGTGAGGTTGCAATCAAAACCAGTGCAGATGAGGAGCCACAATAGCCCACTGAAATGGGAACACTTTGCTTTTCCACTCAGGTGCCCTGTTTTCTTGCCAAACTAGTCTGCTGGCAGTTCCTTCTCTTAGACTTGAAGTGTTTAACATTTGATTTTCAATATCAAAAGTAGTTGCCTGGTTTTTAACCTCAGGGAGAACTTGAGCTTCCAGCCTCAAGCACTGGTCTGGCCTTAGACTAGTCTGGCACTGGGTGTTACAACGAGGTGAATCTAATCCCTCATGTTCAGTCAAAACCAGTTCATTGCTGCAGAATGATTAGATGTTTATCAGACAGTATCTATACACAACTACTTATAAATACTATCTATTATATAACAAAAAATGCTATTACAGAGAGGAATGGTATTGCTCTCTAAGGAATATATCTATTTTTTGCTTTCTAGCCTCTACACCAAATAAAATACTAACAGAAGAGTATCAGATCCCAGGATGAGACCCTTTCAATCATTTATTAAGTAATGGCTTGTATACCATGACACAAATAGATTACTTTTGCCTCTGTATAAAATTATGCTTCCCTTAAAAATAACCTTAGACTAGAATTTCCCAAAGAATTGCCTTGTACCTTTTAAAACACATGCAGTAAAATCATCTGTGGAAAAAATTCATTATGCAAAATACGACACTAACAATAAATCAGTTGTCCCATGAGTTGTTCAGCACTGTAATAAAATTATGTACCTTGAATAATGCAGTAAGCCCATAAATTTTTGTCTGACTTCAAAAGCTTCTGCAGTGTAATTCACATACACTCTCATTTTTCTCTGTAAGTCAAGAAATATGCCAGTGCTCACATGCTAGTGCATGAGACAATTAAATCCACATCCCACTGGTCACAGGCTGATTCTATTCATGACATTAAAGTCCTGTACTAGATCTAAGGGGAAAATATACCTTTTTTTTTTTATTTCTTTACTGATCCAAAAAGAAAGCAAAGCCATGAACTCAAATTACAACAAAAAACATCTCAGGGAAATGGTACTAAAATACGTCTGAAAATCATGTGGTGGCAAAATGAAATTCGGTTCTGTACACACAGGCTTAAATAAATGGAATATGCCCACCAAAAGGTGAGAAAAGAGACAACATGTTTAACCTAGGAGAGGTGCTGCAAGGCTTAAAGGTCATTAACAAAAAAAACAGAGGCACTGCTGCTAAGTCTTTGTACAATAAGTCCTCTCCTCTCTGCCATGGGAAGCATACTTTTATTTTGGTTTGGTTTGTGGGGATTTTAAAATGGAAATGAAAAAAGCCCTGTAACTCTTTAAATACCTCTGTCTCTATATGAACTAATGTACATGTCCTATATTTTTCTATCCAGCAAATCCAGAGCTGGTTTGAAGACCATGTAAACACAAGAATATATCCACAAAATAATGGGTTTTGTTCAAAGATATTAGAGCAAATTCACAACAGGTGGAATTTGCCATGTCTCTCCAGAAACTGCAGCCTTTTACCCAGCTCTTATAGGTATATCACAAAAGTAAAAATACTAAGCCAGACAACACCAGCCAGATCTTAAATAATAAATAAGACAGCAGCACACTTCTCCACTGTTCTTCTTTTCAAAACAGCCACAGAATAATAAATCAGAACATCATTTGAAATTGATGGAGTTGTGTCCTGGGTCCAGAATAGCACCTGAGGTGCCTGTAAGCCCTCCTGGTATTCCAGTTCCAGGTATTCCAGTACAGGCTCTGCTTGGCCACAGAATGAGCAAGTAAAGAGCTCACCACAACAGTGATTTCATTTTGTAGTTATTACTGAAAAAAACCTTCAATTTCTTCAGCGATCACCAAGCATGTGGGCTATGACAAAGGAAAAACTAGTGGAATTACAGTCAAAAGAAGATAAACTGACTGCAAACAAGTTCCTACTGCTTAACGTACAACAGTTAAAATTGTTGAGCTTACAAGATGTAAGAATTCTAATAATCCAGCTTCAGAGTTTATAGGAAGACAAGTTGGCTGTCCCCCACTTCTTATCTAACAACTTACTTTGCAAAGCTGAAAGGTTTTCACTTCTTAGGTTTAAAAGTAAATAAACAAAAAGTCAGTTAAAAAAACCATGGAGTCTCACTTTAACATTTGCATTTATCTTCATTAAGGTAGCATTATTTTTTAGTTACAGTTATGAAGAAAAATAGCTTTGCTGAGGTCATATCACACTGTACTCTTTTTTAATATTAAACAGATTTCTTTGTCAAGTAACTGATGATCCTCTCTACATATCACTTAGCACTACAAT